GGATGATGTATCCATTGGTTTCAGTGGGATCTTGATATCCTCCACTATTATTGTGTTATTGTCAATTTCCCCTTTTATGGCTGTTAGTATTTGCCTTATGTTGAGGTGCTCCTATGTAGGGTGCATATATTTGCAGTTGTTATGTCTTCTTCATGGACTGATCCTTTGATCATTATCCAGTGTTCTTCCTTGTCTCTTGTAACATTCTGTATTTTAAAGTCTGTTTTGTGTGAGATGAGAATTGGTACTCTCGCTTTCTCTTCATTTCCATTTGCATGGAATATAATTTTTCCATTCCCTCACTTTCAGTCTGTATGTGTCCCTAGAGCTGAAGTGGGTCTCTTGTAGACAGTATATATACATGTCTTATTTTTGTATCCGTTCAGCCAGTCTGTACCTTTGGCTGGAGGATTTGATGTATTTGCATTTAAGGTAATTATTGATATGTATGTTGCTATTGTTATCTTCTTGTTTTCAGTTTGTTTTTGTAAGTCTTTTTCTTCTCTGTGTTTCTTGCCTAGAGAAGTTCATTTAGCATTTGTTGTAAAGCTATTTTGTTGGTGCTGAATTTCCTCTTAGCTTTTGTTTGTCTGTAATGCTTTTGATTTCTCAGTAGATTCTGAATGGGAGCCTTGCTGGGTAGAGTAATCTTGGTTGTAGGTTTTTCCCTTTTATTACTTTAAATTTATCCTGCCACTCCATTCTGGCTTGCAGAGTTTCTGCTGAGATATCAGCTGATAACCTTATGGGGATTCCCTTGTATGTTATTTGTTGCTTTTCCCTTGTTGCTTTTAATATTTTTTCTTTGTATTTAATTTTTGTTAGTTTGATTCATATGTGTCTCAACATGTTTCTCCTTGGGTTAATCCTGTATGGGACTCTCTGTGTTTCCCAGACTTGGGCAACTATTTCCTTTCCCATGTTAGGGAACTTTTCAACTATAATCCCTTCAAATATTTTCTCAGACTCTTTCTCTTTCTCTTCTTTTTCTGGGACCCCTATAATTCGAATATTGGTTCCTTTAATGTTGTCCCAGAGGTCTCTGAGACTGTCCTAATTTCTTTTTTTATTCTGTTCCACTGCAGTGATTTCCCCCATTCTGTCTTACAGCTCACTTACCCGTTCTTCTGCTTCAATTATTCTGCTACTGATTACTTCTAGGGTAGTTTCATTTCATTATTGTTCATCACTGTTTGTTCTTAGATTCCTCTAGTTTTTTGTTAATCATTTCTTGTATATTTTCGATCTGTGCCTCTATTCTGTTTCTGATATCTTGCATCATCTTTACTATCATTACTCTGAATTATTTTTGGGTAGATTGCCTAGTTCCTTTTCATTTATTTGATCTTGTATGTTTCTATCTTGCGCCTTTGTCTGCAGCATATTCCTCTGTTCTTTCATTTTGTGTAACTTACTATGTTCGTTGTCACCTTTCCGCAGGCTGCAGGGTCGTAGTTCCTCTTGCTTCTGGTGTCTGCCCCCTTGTGGGTGATGTTGGTCCAGGGGCTTGTGTAGGCTTCCTGGTTGGAGGGACTGATGCCTGTGCTCTGGTGGTTGGAGCTGGGTAGGCAGGACTGTGGCAAGAGCTGTATTTTGGGGTGTCTCGAGCATAGGATGACTTTTGGTAGCCTGTCTGCTGATGGTTGGGGTTGTGTTCCTGTTTTGCTGGTTGTTTGGCCTGAGACATCCAGCACTGAAGCTTGCAGGCTGTTGTGGGGAGCCAGGTCTTGTTGCTGAGATGAGGACCTCTGGGAGAGCTCACACTGATTAATATTCCCTGGGGCCAGGAATTCTCTGGAGGTCCAGTGGCCAGGACTTCATGCTTCCACCACAGGGCTCAGTTTCAACCCCCGGCTGGGGAACCATGGAAGAACTTGCAAGCCACATGGTGTGGCCAAAAACAAACAAACGAACAAAAAACAACAAAAAAACCCAGAAAAGAGACAAAAACCAAGAGAAACAGAAAATCAAAAGGAAGCAAACAAAACCAAAAAGATCCCAAAAAGCCCCACAAATAATAAAGTAGACAACCACCAACCAAACAAAAATACCTCAAAATGAAAACAAACAATAGAAACATAACTAACAAAAACAAAAGAAAAACAACACAAAAAGCAAAGACTACAAAAAATAAACACACAAAAATGACAAGAAAACAAAACGAAACAAACAGAAAAAGAGAAAACTCCAAAACAAAAAAGAAAAAAAGAAGACAAAAAGAAACAAAAATAACAAAACAAACAAAAAACCCCAATAGACCAATAAAAAATACATTTAAAATTTTAAATGAATTAATTAAAACAAAACAAAACAACACAAAATAATTCCCTGGGGGCTCTGCTATCAGTGTCTTTGCCCCCATGGTGAGCCATTTCCAACCTCCACCTCCCCAGGAAGCCCTCAAAGACCTTTCAGGTAAGTTTCTGGACCTGCTGTGGGCAGTGTGGTTGCAACAGATTCTGACCTGCCCCAACTCCCATGTGCACATGTCCCCAAAGTCCACAGCTGCCAAAGCTAGACCCATCTCAGTTCTGGGAGCACTCATCTATTCAGTTGTTCTGCAGGTGTTGGATATACCAGGCTGATTATGGGGGTTAAATCTGTGGCTTGTGCAGCTGCATGGAGAGATTTTAATTCCTCTTCCTTAGTCGTACAGCCGTGGGGGCTCAGTTTTGGTTTCAGTCCCATCTCGGTGTGTGGGCTAACCTCAAGCATCTGCTCTCCACTCAGGCGAGTGGGAGCAAAGGCAGCAACTGAGTGGGAGACTCTTACTTGCTTAGGTGGGATTGTCAACAGGTGGTGATCGATTGGGGCATGCCTGCTTGCTCAGGCAGGAGGGAATAAGGTGCCTATGACTGGGGCATGTGGACTTGCTCAGGTGTGAGGGGGACAAGGTTGCAATGACTGGGGTGTGGGCACTCTGTTGGGAATCCCTCCCAGTGGCCATGGAGGCCAGGGCTGGTGTGTGGGGAGAGAGGTTGCGATGGGGGCCCCGCCCCTTGTGTGCCACTCAACAATGGTGCCTTGCTTCTAAGGCAGTCCTACTTCTTCCAGGAGCATTCCCAGCTGCAGAGCTCCTCACTCCCATCCCTTCAGGCCGTATCCACACAGCCAACAGCAGTCCTCTCCCTGGGTCTGCTCTCCTAACATCTTGCGTCAGCACCCAGCCCCTGCCCACATTGGCAGACACCCATCTCAGGCTGAGGTGCGCAGGGCTGTGGTACAGACTGTCCATGGAAGTCTTGTTCTCTCCTGACTGCCACAGATCAGCCACTGCCCTTTCTTACAATAGCCCCTGAATCCACCCCTCTATTTCAGCATATTTTGCCACTGGTAAGGGGGCCTCCCTGGGTTTGGTAATCTCTCCTCTCCTTCAGCTCCTCCCCAGGAGTGTGGATCCCATCCCATTTCCTCTTTTCCTTTTCTTCACTTTCTCTCCTTTATCCTACCTGGTTACACAGGGATCTTCTCTTGTCCTTTTAGGCATCCAGGATCCTTTGCTAGTGTTCAG